AGCGTCAAATTGTGATGCCAATGTTGGTTTTCGCCGTATAAGTTGGCGTATTTAGGAAATGATTTGAATGATTTCAATTCGAAGAAATATTTTGACATTTTGGAAAATTAAATTATTTTCGGATATTATTAATTAATTAATTCCGAATTTAATTTATTGTTATTTCGGAAAATTTATAATTTCAAATTATGATTTCTAGCTTGAATGTTGGCGATTTTGCCGCTGAATTGTCGTATTAAATTGATTTTATGGCAAATTGTTTGATCGAAAGTTTACGTGGAAAAATTTATGAGACTTTTGGAATTAAATTATTTTATTCTGTTATGCCAAGTAATGTTAGTGATACTTTGTGGTTGATATTCGTGTTTGATATCGAAGATTGCAAGAATTGTTTCATTGTTTGCATGTGTGGCCACTTGGTATTATTGTATGACGTCGAGGAAGCACGATTCATGTATGCGTGGGCTAATTGAGAAGATAATAATTGGCCAAATGCTTGTGTGCTCGTGTGGTCACACGTTGGAACCGTCTTCTTGTGTATCGCTTGACGATGCCCGATTTATCGGATGCCTGGGGATTATGCGGAGTGCCGATACCGGATGCCTTGTCGCGGCCGAGGCGGACTCGATGCTTCTTACGGGATACCATCTTCGTAGATCGTTTGATGTTGCCGTATTGGAATGCCGTCTTCTTGTAGATCGTTTGACGTAGCCGTGCCCGACGGGCGGGACGGAGCCCGGTTTTACCGGTAGACCGCCATCTTGCTGCGTATCGCTTGATGTGTGGTGGCCGAGGCGTAATAAGCTGGAATACGTGTGATGCATAGTCGATTATGTGGTAGAAGCTGCTAGGCATGGTATGGGACGTGCTCAAGTGGATTCTATCTTATAATCGGGACACGCCCGCTTGTGATGCATTGATGCATGAGTAATTGATCTAGATGCTTCGAGTTTGCGACATATGCATTTCATCCGAGTGTCCCAGGCGAGGTAAGGATAACGTCATTGTTTAATGATGATGTGTTGATCTTTGTATTGCACGGTTAGGGACCCCGTGCGAGTTAGCCTCCTAAGCGGGGCTTAGGCATTAACTTATTGAGACTTTCGTCTCATTTGTTGTTGTTAACCTTTTTCAGGCCCCTAGCATGTTGTTGCACCCAGTTTGGTTCAGGGCGTCTAGAAGCTGGCTTTTTGGGATCGACTTGTCGATGGAGTAGATTAACCCTAGCCTTTACTCTTTTTGCTGGCTTTTGTGGTAGCGCCCGATGTGGGCTTGTAAGAATGTTCCCAGGGGTTAATCAAGTGAAAATCAAAATAGTGTGGTTTGATTTGTGAATTGTTTTCCTAACTATCCTGTTTATTGTTGTTGTCAGGGATTCTTTGTGATCGTTTCGCATGCGTAATTAAAAGATAAAAAGAAAAGGGTCGGCGACGAGTCCTGGGTCGTCGCATCATAACGACCATAGCGGGGTTCGAGGCGTGACAGGTCATCCTCGCCCTATCTACCAAGGGCGTTCCTTGCCAGATCCGACAAGGGCAAGGGTTGTCCTCACTAGCGTTGGGCAACGGCATTCCTCACTAGATCCGGCGATGGCCGCCCTCGCCGACGTCGAGCGAGGGCTGCCCTTGCCTAGGCGGGCAAGAGCCGCCCTCATCGACCCAACCCAGGGCAACCGTCCGACATCGACAAGGCCCGGCGATGGCCGACGAAGGGAAGAGGAAAAAATAAAAAATAAAAAGAAAATAACAGAATAAGGAAAAATGAGAGAAAAAAAGGAAAAAGAATTCAAAAAAGTAAATGATGAAAACGCCCTTCGGTCAGTGAGGTCATGCCCTTCTTTGAGACTAATATGACAACTTCAGGCCCTTATTTGAAATAAAGTTCACTTAATACCCTAATTTGAGATAAGGTTCACTTCCGGTTCTTATTTGAGAAAATAAGAGCACTTTAGGCCCTTATTTGGAATTTCCCACCAATTTATAACAGTGAAATGCTATAGTACATACCTTGAGTAAAATAGCATCTGCAGAAGGGATGGACTCAAACATATCACCACCAACAAACTTCACATTCTCACTCTCCGGCAAGCCGGCAACCACGTGTGGGAGATCAAGCACCGTGCACTTCAACCCTGGACACACCTCGGAGATTATCCTTGCCATGGTTCCCGTGCCGCCTCCGACATCCACCAAAGAATTCAACCCTTCAAAGATCTCTTTACAATCCTTAATTACCAAATTCATCAACTGAGAATCACCGGCCATTGCTCTATTGAATGTATTCCCAAATTCAGGATTCTTCCTCCCATAGTCCCATAGATTGACTCCATGCGCAGCCTCAAAAGGATTGTTTAATTTGTCTCTACAATCGTCATGGTTATTTCCTTGGAGCCAATCTCCAAGAAAATGCCAAGGACTCACAAGAGCCGGACCGAGCATGGTCGTGACGAACGGCAAGAGCCCCGTGACCGTATCGCTCAAAAGTAGACACGAAGAAGGCGTCAAGACATAAGCCTTAATTTCTTTTTCTTGTTCTCCATTCTTGGGAACAAGCGTCTCTGCAAAAATGCCCGAGTGAACCAAAACGTGCATGAGGCGGTAAAGACACGTCATTTTGGACGGGTGGATTCGGAGTTCTGAGGCTAGCTCAAGGAGGGTCATGGGTCGCTTGTGGTCATGTATGACATCGGGGATGCGGAGTTGCACCGCGCATTTGAGAGACATGGAAGAGATGAAGTTGAAGGTGTGATTGTAGAGGTGGAATTGAGCTTGGAACATCTCTTTGGCTTCTTGAGAGTTACTGAGAGGATGCATGGTTTGGTTGTGAACTAGACTAGATGATTCGGGAATCACTCGGTTGAGATAACAGAGGTATAAATTCCTGGTTCTGTAGAGAAGTCGATGGAATAAGTTCATAGAGATGGCTTTTTTCTTGCAAGAGAAGCCGGTTCACGTTTGGCTTCTTGGGTTTTACCAATCAATTGGCACGTTGTATTTCGATCAAAAAAGAAATTGGCACGTTGAAAGAAGAGGAGTCGTAAACAATAAGTAGTTGATTAATTCAACCCAAATAAACGAGTCTCAGCAGGGAAAAATCAGGCATTCTTCCTTATCCCTTTCAACAATAGCTATCTCATGAGATGAGAAATAGATCTAGCTTTTCCTCTTTTAGATATGATGGGTTTTACTAAATAATATACAAAGTGTGTATTTTGGCGTTATAAATTCATTTGTTTAAAATATCCACTTATACAACTAGCCATATTCGTTATAGACCAGTTTAATAATCCAATCACGGTATCATAACATTATTTCCACAAATTTACATGGATATCACTTACCGTTTAAATTGAAGAATGCCGGATATCCTAATACTAGTTTTCTAAATTAGTGTACGATAAGTAGAATAATACTAGACATACTAAGACTCTTCTACTAAATTCGTTTAAATTGAAGAACGCGGGATATCCTAAAACTAGTTTTCTAAATTAGTGTACGATAAGTAGAATAATACTAGGCAAGCTTGATTTTGCCCACCATCTTAAATTCCCACCGAAAAAGCGCTACATCACTTAATAAAAGGCAAAAGTACATGGAAGTGCCACAACTTGTGTACGGCGATCATTTACAGTACCACAACTTTTTTCGGATCGGCTTTGGTGCCAAATCGGAGGAAAATAGATCACTTTAATGATTTCCGTGAAAAAAGACACGGCATTTATATTAAAAAAAATGGTCGACATGTACACGTGGAAATTATATGGCTTTTTCGAATTTTTAATTTTAGAAAAAAAAAAAGTTGCAGCAGCGGCGAGGAGCCCTCGCGCCTGCACGCTGGCCCACCACCCATTGGGAAGGGCCGGCGGTGGTGGGGCGCGTGGTCGGCGAGGGCCGGATCCGTGGCGAGGCGTGCCTCGCGTCGCGACTGCGAGACCTCGCCGTCGCACTGGGTCGCGACGACGAGGTCGACCTCGCCTTCGGCGGGCGGCGAGACCTCGCCGTCGCGACCCAAGCGACGGCGAGGTCGGCCTCGCCTTCATTGGCGGCGAGACCTCGCCGTCGCAACCCGGGCGACGGCGAGGTCTCGCCTCGCCCGGCTAAAGCGAGCGGACCTCGCGTCGCCTAGGTCGCTGACGGCGAGGTCTCGCCTCGCCGGATCCGCCCTCGTTGGGCTCGGCGAGGGTCGCGGGCCCGACCGGGGGCCGGTGACCCTCGCCGACACTGCGCCCACCACCGCCGGCCCTTCCGGCGGTGGTGGGTTATGCGGCAGCTGCGAGGCCTCGCAGCCGCTGCTTTTTTTTTTATTATTTAATTTAATTTAATTTAATTTTTTAAAAAATTACATGTCAGGGCTAAACGGCGTGTTATTGGTTTTTAATGGCCGATCTGGACCTTCTCCCGCGAGCCGTGTGGCGCCACATCAGTTCCGTGAGCCACGTCGCATTGGCATTAAAATGATCGTTTTCAAAAAGTTGGCACCAAAGTGATCGAAAAAAAGTGGCACCAAAGTGATCGCCATACATAAGTTATGACTTCTAGTGTACTTTTGGCCTTAATAAACTAATTTAGGTGACGAGTTTTAGTATCTCTACCATTACTTTATTAGGTAATGTTAGACTGTTTTTTGTACTGAGTATGACTCACTTATTAAATGGCATGCTCTAATCTGTCACATCATTTAATAAACTAATATTCTAGACATGTTTCAGTATATCCCTACTCCACACGGTGTTGCTTTTAAGTCATGCAAGAACCGAAGTTTACCAAAATGGGATTTAAAATTAGGGTGTAGAGCTAGTCATGTAGGTACGAAAAAATGAAGGATTCAAGCATAGGTATCTTTTGATCAATAATTACTTAAAGAGATGGGGCCCAAGATAAGGCGGATGGGTTCATTCAATTCACCAAAATATTTAGTATTAGTGTTAGTTCACATCAATGTAAAATTATCTGTACGCATTTATCATCAGATAAATGTGACATATATATTGAGACATAATAAAAATCCATAACCAAATGTCATTTCAAATATCAAACAAGATTAGTACAACTTCTTAGTACATATATAGTATGGCTTTAAATGAATTTACAAGCGGTGCTTGTAAATATACACAATTTGAATCCCTAAGGAAAGACTTCAATGAGAGACCTTAATCCAAACATAGGAGTTATCTTGTGCTGTCTGAAGCCGGCCTCCGAGAAAAGTTTTTCCCACTCTTTCTTGGTCCTCTCTCTTCCAGTGACCACCGTCATCATCAACATATCGAAGAAGAGCTTTGTTGCAGTTGCTTCGGCATCGTCATCCTCGGTCTCGCTTATCACAATGTCTATGATTATCACCTTCCCTCGCTCGTTGTTCTTGCCAGCGATCGCTTCTCTGCATCTTCGCAGCACCTTCACACAGTCCTCGTCGCTCCAAGCATGTAACATCAACTATATCATCAACAAGTACATCCAAGTAATTAGTAGCAACCATTCAAAGGAAGAAGACTTATCGAACACTAAAGTCTCACCTAACTTTCATTGCGTGTTTAAGTACTTGAATGCGACCCCAATAGAATTTTCTAACTTTTTCAACAGTGGCATACAGAGGGATTAATGATTGAGGCGAGCTAGATATTTTATTTCAATAGGAACATGACCTGAAGCTCCAACTTAGATGAATAATATTGACCCAATAATACCTCACTATGTTCTTGAACCTGTTAAAACACTAGTTTGAACTTGGGTAAATAATCCAAACATTACATTATTTAGGCCACATTTATTTCGTGAAAAATAAAAATTTTAAAATATTTTCTTAAAAATAACCGCTTGTATCGTTTGAAATAACTAGTTAATGAAGAATATTTTTATTATCAACAATAATTTATTTTTAAATATTTTGGTGGATGATGAAAATATTTTTTGTTCTATTTGTATAAAAGATAAGAACGATTATGTTTAGGAAAATATTTTTCAAATTATTTATTTTTTGCCAAAAAAACGGAACTCTACACCAACTTGAAGATTCAAACTTTGTCATATATCCCATCCACACATAGTTTTTTTTTTTTTTACCAAGTCAATCCAATGGAAACATAAACATATACATGAACAAATTCAAAGCACATACCTTCAGCAAAATGGCATCGGAAGGGGGGATGAACTCGAACATATCACCCCCAACGAACTTCACATTCTCACTCTCCGGCAAGCCAGCAACCACATGTGGGAGATCGAGCACCGTGCACTTCAATCCCGGACATGCCTCGGAGATTGTCTTCGCCACCGTGCCCGTGCCGCCTCCGACGTCCACCAGAGTGTTCAACCCTTGAAAGATATGCTTACAGTCCTTGATGACCAAATTCATCATTTGAGAGTCGATGGCCATCGCTCCATTGAATGCACGACCGAATTCAGGATTCTGCCCCCCATAGTCCCACAGGTTCAATCCATGCGCAGCCTCGAAAGGGCTAATCAATTTGTTGCTGCAATCGTTTTCGCGATTCCCTTGGAGCCAATCTCCAAGAAAATGCCAAGGAGCCACGAGAGCCGGATCAAGCATGGCCACGATGAATGGCGAGAGCCCCGTGGCTTTATCACTCAGAAGCAAACTCGAAGAAGGGGTCAAGACGTAGGCTTTAACTTCTTCTTCTTCTCCTCCTCCTCCATGCTTGGGAACAAGGGTCTCAGCGAATACGTTTAAATGAACCAAAACGCGGATGAGACGGTGAAGGCACGTGGTTTTTGACGGGTGAATCCGGAGCGCCGAGGCCAGCTCGAGAAGAGTGATGGGCTGCTTGTGGTCGTTTATGACGTCCGGTATGCGAAGCTGGACGGCACATTTGAGAGACATGGACGATACGAAGATGGAGGTGAGACTGTAGAGGTGCGATTGAGCTTGGAACATCTCTTTGGTTTCGCCAGAGTGGCCAAGATGATGCATGGCTTTGTTCTGAAGGAAATTGTTTTGAAAAATATGGGACAAGCGGATCCGATAATAGATAGAAGGAAGGAAATAAATCCGACACCGGATTTCTATGATTCAGTTTGAATGTCGGTACTTACGTCCACAGAGAAAGTAGCAAGAATTCTGCTATAGAAATAAGCGATACAACGGAGATTACAATCACTCGAGTACTCAAACACTCTCTCAGTATTTCCCAGCCCTTAACTATACCAAATAACTCACTCAGTGTTTAATCCCTCACAATTTCTAGTGAAATCTCATTTAAGGAATTTCACAAATTCTAATCACAAGAATTTAACTGGCTAAATCACTACAAGGTGTAATTACAACAAGAAAACCAACGCATTCACGTAAATCACCCTCCTGGCCGCCAAGGACTTAGGCGCTACAAACCACTCTTTCTCCTCCTCTTTATATAATGCTGAAGGTACTCCTCTTCGTGATTAAATAATGGATGGAGACAAACAAAGCTCACATACCTTTTTTTCTGTGCCTTCAATTCCATCGTTATGGAGCAATTTGTGGAAGTCCTCCTTTTACGCCCGAAGAAGTCTGCGCATGATTTCTTCATATAATGTGAAGAATGGACAGCATGATAAATCATGCACGCCAACTTTCCACGTGCACAATAAACAAAGGAAAAAAAGAAATAAACAACTCTTTCTTTTTCCTCTTTCTTTTGCATACCATCAACAATTGGAGCTGGCCGATAACCATGTCAACTGGGCCAACTTCAGTATTGTGATCCACCGTCCACACATGCTCATTGTTCCGGGTTACGTATTCGCTCAAACTCAAGATATATATTAATGGATATTTTGATGACTCATGCATGACTTCATCGTGATAATAGACAGAAAAATCTCCTAGTTGCGTCGTGGCTGAGTCTACCTTCATGTGAGCTAAATCAAGCTATATTTCCCATGCTCCAATCCAAAGGTTGACATTGACGAGTTTTTAGATCGAACAGCTGACAAGACGCACGTTTCAATTATTTATGTTGACAAGCTTAGATCTAATAACCGACAAAGACTTGCAACAACTTTCTCATTCATAAAGTCGCGCGAGGTAGTTTAATCCAGTGCAGTTGAAGAAGATTGACCTTTTGACTTCTTTGCATTTTCATTTTGTCGTTAGTTTAATTATTAAATACAGCAAAAGTTGACATGAGCATACCGCGAATTACTGTACATATAATATTAATCATTTGATGACGTATGCAATGACAACTCTACTATAATCTTTTTATGATTCATGCACGACTCTATTATAATCAACTGATTGTTTTTTTGCCACTAGAACATCTATTTTCGATTGGAACAACTCCGACTAACAGTTCTCAGTTCAGTACAGTTTATTATAGCATATAAAAGTAATCACGTTTGCAATTTGTTTCGTAATCGCATTGTAGAATTGTCGATTTGTCTAGTCCATATTTGTGAAGATAATATAATTTATAGCATAACTTATGTAGCTATACCTTAATGACACGATTCATTTATTATTCATACTTTTCCTTAGGAAATATTAGTTATATACTATCGGCAATATTATGGAAACTTGCACTATCAATTTTGATGTATAATAAAACTGGTAGAAGGTTATTTGGATCATAACAGCTTATACAATCAATTTTACTTTTCCTTTTTGATTTTGTTCTGGGGATAAAAAAAAAAGGGAGATGCTATGCATCTACGCGGAAAGTGGCACAATTTTGGTGCGGGAAAAGTGTCGGAAAAGTCCTAAACCTATTGTGTATGTACCAATTTAATCATAAACCTTTTGACATAGTGCCAATTAAGTCATTATGGCTAATTTTGGCCGAATATTGCTAATGTGGACGCCGGCTGGCCTACGTGGCACCGCTAGCGCTGACGTGAACAATTTTTAATAATATTTTACTATTTTTTCGATTTTTTATTATTTTTTCTGATTTTTTTCTTTCTTTTCTTTTTTTCTTTCTTCTTTCTTTTTAGTGACCGGATGGGCTGGTCTCGCCTGGGCGAGGGTCACCATCGCCCGCCACAAGTGAGGCCCGGCCAGGCGAGGGCGAGCACTGGCAAGGCCGCCGTGGCTTGGGCGAGGGTCAGCATTACCACATCAGGCAAGGGGATTCCTCACTGGGGCTCACCCTCGCCCAAGCGAGGCAAGCCCACCTGACCATCACCTGTGGCCGGTGGCCGGTCACTGGCCAAAGGAAGAAGAAAAAAAAAATCAGAAAAAAATAATTAAAAAATTGAAAAAATATTCAAATATTATTAAAAATTATCCACATCAACGCCGGTGGTGTCACGTAGATTGGCCGGCATCCACATCATCAATATTCAGCCAAAATTATTTGGAATGACTTAATTAGCACTATGTCAAAAGGTTTATGACTAAATTGGCGGAAAAAAAAGATTTAGGAATGAATTGGTACCAATGCAATAGATTTATGACTTTTCTAACACTTTTCCCTTTTGGTGCAGCGAAAACAAGGATAAAAACAGATCAATCCAGTTTGCAACATGCACGAAGGCGCAACATGCACGCTTAAAAGAGGCGCATACTGAGAAAACATTTTCGAACTGTATTTTGTAAAATTATGTCAAAAGCTGTCTGAAATCCAAAAGAACAAATAAATGCTTTGCAAACCTAGGTGTTACGAGAAAATCAGAAAATAAACCTGAGCAGTAAAGAAATTTAGAAAAACAAGGAAAGGGCAAAAGGAGACCTAAAAATAGAATAGTGCCCTCAAACACAAAATAACGGATTACAAGATCCATAATCATTGCAAACGGGCGATCCCATTCGGCCATAGTATAGCGCTCGGACCGAGCTTTCTGAATCTGTATTATGGGCGCCATAAATTTTCCTAGATCGGAGTCATAGTCATTTTATCGCACATTGCACGAATTCTAATCCCGAGCTTGCCGACTGATCTTTTGCCTATCCGAACGCTCTAGAAAGTCACTAGGAGCCGAGTTCGCGTGTTTTTTTTTTTTTTTGGTAACCGAGGATCCGCCACCATTCTCCGGGGACGAGCCCGCATAGGTAATCGGGGCGCCTATACCTCGGGGGAGACTAGCCCAGCAACCCACCGCCAAGGCCCCCCACTTAAATTACGGAATCGAGCGGGGATTCGAACCCAGAACCGCTCTGAGGGAAGGAAAGCACTCACCAACTCGGCCATGCGCAGATGGGTGAGTTCTCGTGTTTTATCGGTTAATAAACCAACATGCAACACATCTACCTAACCCTTAGTCATCACCTTCCCATGATCATTGCTTTTGCCACCGATTGCTTCTTTGCATATTCTCAGCGCGTTCATAAAACATTAACTATGACTAACACTTAAGTCCAATGCTTGTGAGAGAACACGCAACAGAAGAAGTCTTTTCCATTATTAAAATTCACCTAGCTTTAATTTCTCGAGGTTAACGTAATCAGCCAAAATAAAAATCTTATGTTTGAATGCGACGTTCGTCAACAATGGCATACAGTAGTTGATACTGGAGGCAAGCCATATGTGTTTTGTTTATGTAGTGACGGTAAGATCCGAAAAGTCAATCTCAGACTGACCTGGGACTAAACAACTGTTAACTATAATTTGCTGGAAGAGATTTACATAATTAATAGCAAAAATAAATCATACAGACACATGTATAGATAGACTAAATATATGGTGTGGATAGAAGTAATTATAGTACAAACAGTAGATCTGTACATGTAAATTGCACGTAGTTGCACTGTCAAAACATTAACTTGAAAAAATTCGTAATTAATTTCTTGTATTGTTGTCCGTAGGAGGTCATTTGATTTTTGTTTTATTAAAAAGATATTCTTTGTTATCTTACATGCACATTCGAATTGATTTGATTAGGGGTGAACATCGATCCAGGGTCAACCCTAGACTGACACTAGACCGGCCCAACCCAGCCAGTCCTGGTCCGGTTTCCAAGGGAAGTGGGCCGGTCCCTAGTCTTGGGACCCTTGGAACCGATACCGTGCTGGTTGGTCCCAGGTCCTGGAGCTTTAGGAATGGTCTAAACCGGACCAATCCTATATATATATTTTGTCCAAGCCCTAGACCCCTCCTCGTCTAGGCTGCTGATATAGAGTGATGACAAGAATAAAGATGACAAAAGGAGTTTACTGGGGGGTTTCGTTAAGGACGAGATTGCCCTTCAATGGGATGGATGCAAATAATAAATTATGAAAATAGCAGAATATCTAGGTCGTTTAAAATTGAAACCCTGTTGCCTCTCTTCGCTAGATTTCTCGCCTCTCCTCGCTTGCCTCACGAACGCAGCTCAGCTGGTGAGTTCTTGGTTTGTACTTGATTTGAGAGCTTCAAGATTGTGTGACTTCTTGGTTTGTGCTGAGTATTTATTTTTTCACTTTCGCCTCTCGATTTGTGCTTGATCTAAGAGCTTCAAGCTCATGTGATTTCCTGGTATGTCCTGGGTATTTATTTTTCCCCTTTCGTTTCTCATTTTGTGCTTGATCTGAGAGCTTTAAAATTGTCAGAAAAATCTCTTTCTTGGTGATAATAATGCTTCCTGTAGATCCATTTGGTGATAATGCTCTTGAGAAATCTTGCTTTTGTTGTTTTTTGAACCTCAAATAGTCATTTGATGATATGCTGCTTGTGTGCTTTTACTTAAAGCAGATAATGAATTTCTTTCCTTTATTTGCATATGTTGAATCATGTCATAACTTTGCTAAGTTAGTTATTCGTTTGACTAGATAAATGTGGTTTTGGTTGTTGCACATGTCTTTAGGTGTCCTAAGTGATAAATGTTGATTGGATTTTTGCACTGGAAAATGAGGTTATATTTTGCAAACTTTGACGATGATGATATACTGATTTTGCAATTACTAATTACATGCAAATAGTGAAATATTTATGTGAAATTGTTGAATCCAGATAACTATTGTTAAGTATTAACTATGTTTGTTGTTTGTTTTGTTTTTAGGTGTTCATAATATGAAGCAATCTTTTAAAAATTAACAAGAAATGAAGTTGTATAATTCATGATTTATGTTATATATTTGGAAATTTTTATTATTTAATTTTATTTCACGTGTTCATCTTCTATGGTTTGTTACTTTTGGCAAGTGGAGATTTTTGTTGTTGCCATATCTTTTATTTTTTTGTGATTTTACACATGTTCACAGTTTGGTTGCTCAATATATGTAATTTCAAAGAGCACGTTTGCTCTTTCAAGGAATACAAAAAATGAAAAAAAAAAAAAGAATTGGTTGGTCTCGAGTTGATCCCGTGGGTTGACCCTAGAACCGGACCAGACCCACAAGGTCGGTCTATTCCTTGGTCCCAAACTCAATAGGGTCGGTCTCCAGTCCCAAAAATTGGGAACTAACACTGTGCAAGTTCATCCTTGGGCTAGGTGCTAGACTGACTCAAGTTGGACCATGCTCACCTCTAGATTTAATTTGTCAAAAGGTAAATGAAGAAAGGCCAGAAGTTACCCTTCTTTAAAAGTAGGGTTCCTTCAACTGTTTTTAAGTTGTCAATTTTTGTATTAAAAAACCATGTAATTAAAAAA